TGAGATTTTTTCATTTTTATCCTATGCATTGTACTGCCCTGCTTGACAAGTTCCTGTGGTTGCCAGTCTTATTATTTTTGGAATGCCTGTGAACCTAAACCTTGAATATGCAGTGAAAGTCTTCCCATGTTCCCAGCTCCACCATCTCTAGTACATAGAGAGGGAGGTTGCACAGATTAGTCTTACCTCGACCCTGGCTTCCTACACTTCCAGGATGTACAGGTAACATTACCATGCCTCCAGGAGGAGCTGGGAGCTATAAATTCTGCAGAAGATGCACTCCAGCCCATTGCAAGACATCTTTCTAGTGGGATTTCAAGCTCCCATGTCCTAAAAAGCGGTCATTGTCCTCCAACATGGTGACAGTGCACACTGCTTTCCCGAATTGCCAGCATTGCTTCTGTTGCTGAAACCCTCCCACTGTAATCTGCAGTGTATGGGAGGGGGAGCATGTGAAGCACAAATGAAAGAGAGTTTAGCTGTGTCAGGGAAGGAAAAGGAAGTTTTTTTGTTTATGAGACTTTTGCATAAAATAGTAACTGGCTTTGGTATTTGTGTAGACTGTTATTCAGGAGCCTTTAGTTTTACTTTGAAAAAAGTTTAATGACATACATGCAATAAGTCTAGAGCAGCATTTTCTTTCAGTCACAGCACTCCTTAAAAGTATCCAAAATCTTGAGGCACCCCATTCTAAAATGTATAAATGATGTGCTGCCCCTCCAAAACCTAAACCAGATTCTTATCAGAGATAGGGGTCTGGTATAGATATTAAGGGGGGACCCTATGCAAAAGCCCCCTTCATATCAGAGTCCCCAGTCCCTCCTTCACATTAGAGTCTTGCCATCCCATCAGAAGGGACAGCTGGAGCTACGGAACCCTCTCAAACTTCCGAATAAACACTAAATCAGAGGCCCTCCATATATCTCTTACGGGCATGTCATTACATAGAGTTCTTGAAAACTTTTCTTTCAAATGGGCACCTAACACCATCAAGTACTTAGGTATACTCCTTCCCAAAGACCCTTCGCATACGTTCATTTTGAATTTCCCCCCATTACTCTCACATATAAATTCAGACTTAGTCACATGGGCCAAAAATTATTTCTCTTGGACGGGACGCAGCAATATCCTAAAACAATCTATCCTACCACACCTACTATACCCTCTCCAAGCACTTCCAATATACATCCCCCTATCCTTTTTTCGAAGTATACAAGCGTTTTTTACGGAATTTGTCTGGGTCCGTAAACCACCGAGACTGAGTTACGATATTTTGCGGAGACCTAAGCATTCAGGGGGGATGTCGCTCCCAGATGTATACCAATACTATACTGCCACTCACTTAGCCCGTATAGTCGATTGGAACCACCACTCTCCATCTAAACTTTGGATCGAGATAGAACAATCCCTTGTTGGAGTACCACTGGCTAACTTACCTTGGAGTATAGAACCACCAACTCCTCAAATACGCTCGCACCCCACCATTGGACCCACATTAAAACTAGCAAGTATGTTCTTCGCCAAGGGATCCCTCTCCTATATCCCTTCTCCTCTTTTCCCCATACTCGATAACCCCTCTTTTCTCCCAGGTATAGGACACCACACATACTCGACTTTGAGAGGATTGGGTATCCATAAAGCCATGCATCTTTTGAAGAGCACGGAGTGGCCCTCCTTTCATGCCCTCCATACTCAACCAGAATATGGACCTCTCGACTTCTGGTCTCCCATGCGCCTAACCCACTTCCTCTCTACCATTCCACCGGTGTATAATCGAAAAAGACCGCTCACTCCATTCGAACAACTCTGTACCCAAACTGACCCTCCACGACATGTCCTCTCCTTCTGCTACACGCAATTGATTGAACAGTCGGTCCAATCCCCACTATGGTTCCTGTCAAGATGGGAGGAGGAACTCCAGATCGCTATACCAACAGAAGCCGCAACTAAATTACTGTCTCTCTCTCACCGTTCCTCAATTAGCAACAGGTACCAAGAATTAGGCTACAAAATAGTGACCAGATGGTACCGGACGCCACAAGCCCTCCACTCACTATTCTCGGACTCACCAGACCAGTGCTGGCGGTGCCAACAGTCCTCGGCAGGCATGCTCCATATGTTCTGGTCTTGCCCGGCCCTTGAGCAATTTTGGAACAAGGTGCACGCTCTTGCGCAAAAAATTACCGATGCCCCGGTTCCTCGAGACCCTGCCTTCTTCCTTTTGCACCACAACAATATATCGATGCATGTCTATTCCTGCTCCCTTACCAGACACATAGTCAATGCAGCCCGGGCCTGTATACCAGCCCTTTGGAAAAAACCTGAACCTCCGCTTATTAGACAGGTTTTAGGCCGCATCCACGATATCTACCTTATGGAAGACCTCACAAGCTCAATTAACCACAATTATACTCTGTTCTTTAATACATGGCATCCCTGGATGGAATTTATGCGTTCGCCTGAATATCTCACCCTTGGAGAGCAACTGAGATCATGACGGACACGGGGGGTACTAACATACCGTACTTTGACCTAGCTCCCTCCCTCCCTCCTTCCTTTCCCTCCTGCAGTTTCTTTTCCTCCCCCACTCTTCCACACAGACCCTAGGTATTATTGATAACCATTAATAAACCACCTGGCCTCTTCCTTACCTCACTATCCCCAATACTTATTTAATAACCCAACACATAATGTTGGTACTATGTATACACGTGTGCTCTCCATTATATCATCGCCCGCATATAACCAGCGGGGTGCTATGTTGGCTGTCTCTTCATTTTCCTTAACTCTTCTATGAAATCGATAAAGAGAGCACCTACCAATAAGGCACGGGCCAGTTAATTACATCAGACGTCTCAAATGATAGCGCTGCCGGCATAAACACCGGACTACCCATCTTTGGACCCACCACATGAGCTAGAAAGCTGTTTCCCTTTTTCCTTTTTTAGCCTCAGGTGCCTGTACGGCTAAACAACTAGTTGTTTGTTTTTTGACAGTTTTGAAATGACCGTGCTGGTTTACACTTGTACAGATTGTATTATGTATACCCTTTTCATTTTCCTGCACTGTCCTCTATGTACGGTGTAAGCTTTAAAAAAAATTTATAAAATAAAGAATTTATAAAAAAAAAAAAAAGAAGGGACAGCTGGAGTAGCATGGCAGGGGGCAGAGCAGGCCTGGACAGAGGCAAACTTCTGTCCTTTTCTTAATGGATCCCACCCTCCCTGGATTGGCGGAATTTGTTTCCATGGTGCAGGTGGCTGGCCTGCCTGCACCATGGAAGGGTTTCATGCTTTCATGCTGTGTGCAAATTTTGAGGCACCCCTGAGGAAGCCAGAAGGCACTCAGGTTGCCCCAGCACACTGATTGAGAAAGGTTGGTTTAGCGTCTCTACATAAATATCTCTGTTTGTCTTTATCTGCTTCTATTATCTGGTGCACAACAGATTTTGTCTGTCTATAGAAACAAAGGGAATGTTCTCAGACTTACCCTGAAAAAAATTCTCAGTGTGGATCAGGACATTTGTACGCGGCCTTTCTCTGTCGGGGCTTTCTGCAGTATATAAAAAAGATACGGGCCAAAAAAGATGTATTTTTTTCCATTACATGGGAAGCAGTAACATGGCTCTCAGAAGTGGCAGTTATGGTGACTGGAGACTGAAATTTTATGTGATGTCGTATTTGAGGTCTGTATAGAATACTTCATTTTCATTGAGCATCTCTTAAATAATTAATGTTAGCCTGAGTTCAGCGTAGGTGTAAAACTGCTCTGGGGACATACATTACTGTCACAGCAGCAAGCTTGTTAGTTCCTCGGAGACAAAGCTTCTGTCAGGCTGTCATTACAGAAAACATGGTGTATGCTATTTCAGAGGATCTCTGTGTACTCAGGAGGCAGCCATTTTCTCACTGCATTTAATATCTGAGAGGGTGTAGTTTATCTAATCAGTGGGAGCCTGTGGCCTCAGATGTCTTTGTATTGGCTAATGGTGTTCCTATAAACAGTTACTTAGTAAATTCTAGATGCCAAAACTTCTTCATAAGTAGTTTTTTTTTTACTGACCATAGGTGAGCAGATTTTTTTTTTAATATAAATAATAATTAAAAAATAGTATAAATAAATTATACCAAATAATTTATAAATGAAATCTGCATGGTGCAGATGCAATTAAAAAAAGTCCTGCTTACTGCATCTTTGATGCGGTTTTCTTGAAAATGCATTACATAGAGTTCACTGGTATCTTATTAAATATACATAAATGTAAAATGCATGTAAAAGCTCAACACACATACAGTGCAATGTGCAAATGTGAACCGGGCCTCCGGTTACAGGAAACCAATCAGAGTAGTTAATGGAAATTTCTGAGGGTTGCTTGCTGGCCTATGAAACCTATAGCACAGCTACCTAAACATATTATGTTGTAACTTGTGTTTCTATACTGTCACCAATTTCAGGTGAATTTGTGGGCCACATTCATATGGAGAAATATAAGACTGGCTGTGCTAATTAGTCGACTGATTCTCGTTTGTGTGTTGTCCCTTTCTCATAAGAAAATTCAATCTAAATGTGTTCTCTGTGTTCCTTCCCTTAGCTTCCAGCAATTACGATATTTCCAGGCAGTTAAAATGATAGCATGTCTCTTTAGATTATGCCTTTATGAATACCAATGAACAAATCTAAAAGCACAGCAGACACCCTGATGTCTATTGTTTTATTATACCAAGCTAGTTATCTGGTTTTGATAGGTGCTAACACTGTGTTGCCTTGTTTAGAAAAATATAATGGCTAACGTATTGTTTAAAGTCAAAGAGCAAGAACAATTTCCCGTTGAAAAGCCCATGTAGGCATATGGATTCCAATCACGTTTTAGTTTGAGATAATGATTCCAGCATGCAGAGTTGTTATGCAGTAAGAAGCAGCATGCTTATTAATTTTGTGAAATAGTGATCAACAGTGAGCCGACTTATGCATTAATGATTTTGTGCTCTTCCTTTTTCAAGACTTTGGAAGCCAACTGGAAGATAATTCGTGATGAGGGGCTTGCTGTAATGGATGAAACCAAAGGCTTTTTCGTTCCCGAAGATGAAAATCTGAGAGAAAAGGGAGACTGGAGTCAATATACATTGTGGCAGCAAGGTAAGTAGCTAATAAAAATGCTTATGAAGAGATTTTTTTTTTATGTCTAAATGATAATGTTAGGTACACTCAAAACTGATATTTCAGAAATGAGTGGATGTTATCATGCTTGATCACCTACAGATTTCCTTTAGCTCTCTGAGTTTCTGGATATATTATATTTCCGCTTATGTTCCCAAAACCACCCACCTACTATGCCTCACTCTCAGTTCTAGAACTACATTTATTTCACTATATGGAAAAAAACAAGGGTGGGAGCACAGCCAGGAACTTCAGATTGGAGATCTTAAAGTGACACTAAACTTAGTAGTTAAATCTGCATCTAAAAATACATTCAAGTACCCTAGTCACAAAAATGTATCTTATTTGTGTATCACTCGGCTGTAGATACTCAAATCATCTCTGAATTGGTGCTGACACTGTCCTTCCTTCTGGAGGGTGGCTACTTTTGTTCCCTATGGTCCCTGTGTGTGTTGTAAAGTAGTCACCAGTCCAAGATCACTCCAGTCATGGACTACAATCTAAATACAAATTAGCAAAGTAAACATGACATTGTAGTCCATCATGGGAAGGAGCTTGGAGTGGTGGCTGATTTACAACACATGCAGGGACCATGGGAAACAAAAGTAGCCACCCTCTAGGAGGAAGAACAGTGTCAGCACCAATTCAGAGATGATTTAAGGATCTACAGCTGAGTGATACACAAATAAGATACATAGTTAAGGTACTTGAATGCATTTATAAGATTTAACTCTTGAGTTTAGTGTCACTTTAAAGGTGGAAAAAGACTGTACAACAGTGATAGCCTGTCATTTGGATAAAGTTGATAAAGTGACAAGACAACATTTAAAACAGCAACCAAAAGTTAACTGCACATTTTAGTCTTCAGAGACCCCAGAAACCCACAAGCCCAGGGCACCCTGCATTTAACTATCAACTTTCCAGACAGAAAATGTGCACTATACCGCACTTTGGACAATGGGCATTTATATATTGCTAATATAGCTAACAGGCTCCACACTGGAGACTGACATTTTATACTGGGTCCCCTAGAATAAATGGAAATATGTCTAAGCTGAAATCTTCTACCACTTGGACAACTTTATTCACTTGACAGATTTGCTATGTTTTTCATGCAGGTTTCCTATGTATTCCATTCACCCACTGACAAAAAGGGCTATGTAATTCTTAGATTGGCTACATCAAGATGCATGTTGATCCTGACCTACTTAAATGTAGGCATAAATAATAATAGTAATAATAATAAATACATATTCACGTAATTCTGGATGTTGCAGAATTGAACACAGTCTATATAACATGTAATGTGGGACTGAACAGATTATTTCATTCTTGAACATTTGCCTTTTCTTTAGGTCGGAAAAATGAAAAGTCCTGTAAAGCTGCACCTAGGACATGTGCTTTTCTTGAAAGATTTCCTGAATCCACTGGATGTCGCAGGGGGCAGGTACATGGAAACAGTTCATCTGCTGTTTTCTCTTAACCTTAAGTGCAAACACTGGAGCAAAAGGACCCCAATTGGGATCCTAGAATGTGTTTTAGAGGTCCCCAGTGTTCCACGTTTTCAGTGCATTATATTTAGAACCACAAAATGTGGTGTGTTCTAGAATATTGGTATACTTGACTACTGGGACTCAGGACTAATGGCATGTCAACCTTTAGAGCCCAGATTTTAATGAATGTTAGCACTGATATAAACCACCCTGTTGTATTATGGAGGCTTTGGAGCTAACAGGATACATACAGGTGTAGCACGTTTAGTACTGTGCTTTGCAGTGCATGATTGGTACAATTCTCAGTAACTGTTTTATTCCATTTAAGTATTTGTACAGAAGGCCACTGCAGACCCCCATATGTAATTATATATAGAGATTTGGTTGTCATGTTAGAAAATAACAGAGTGCTGTATCCTAGACAAGGTGTCATTAAAAATATGTATGATATGACTTTTACTAAACGTTTATCTTTCTGCTTAGATCAAATACTCAATCATGCACCCTGGAACTCATGTGTGGCCCCACACGGGGCCAACAAACTGCAGACTGCGGATGCACTTAGGATTGGTTATACCGAAGACTGGTTGTAGAATAAGATGTGCCAATGACACCAGGTAAGATTTTAGTTTTGTATACACATGCCTAATACTTGTAGGTTTACGTGTGTAAATGGTTTTAATTTGAAAACTCTTTGAAAATTTCAAAAACTGTGGCATAGTGAAAATAGTGAAATAAATGTTTGTGTCTATGATTCACATATGTAAGGTGGCCATACACCTTACAAACATCGCAAGACTTTTGTACTATCTGCCCATCTTGGACAGGCAGATCGTACTTGCGATCATCGCAAGCCCGCCCCATGAGGGGCGGGCTTGCGATGACTGCAATGCTGAACGGGCAGTGTGCCGTTCAGCAGTTGTCGAACCAGCAGGCCACTAACCCGCCGAGAATCGTACGATTCCCGGCGGGTTTTCCAGCCTGCTTGTTCGATGGAAGACGTGCGACCGTACAGTGGATACGGTCGCATGCCTTCCATACACTTTGCGATTATCGTACATAATCGTACAGTGTATGGGCACCTTAAATCACAGCCACACAATCAAAAATAATGTTTTTTTTAGAATCTGCATCAAAATCACAGAACAACAAACAGTTTCGAGATCTTTCTTGGCTCCTTTATGAAGGCATAAGTGACCCTTTTTTAAATGGCCCATGCGAGTCCTTGAAATGTTAGTTTTTTGGTGCTTTGATGCAAAACCAATAAAGGTGATTTTTTGAAGTAAGCCATTGGTGGCACACGTATATCTCAAATAGTTTTTTTATTTAGCAATGGAAAACAGAGTTAGGGACCCAGAAAAATGTACATTGAACTGTAGCAGAAAAAAGGATGAACAGCTCTGTTCTAGGCTACACACGGTAAGTTGTGAAGCACAAGGAACTGCATGAATGATTTCTGCAGTTTTTTTTCCACTTTGGCAGATTTAAAGAGTCTTCCTATAACTAGTGCAGAACTGTGAATTATTTGCCGTGCAGGTATTTTGTTTTTGCATGTATGATAGGTAATGACACAAATTACTTTTTTTTTTCCTTACCTTTTACAATTTTTTTTTACTGAGAGTAAGATGGAAAAAAGAGCCCTGTTCTTTAAAAGGACACATTGACTAGAATAGCTGTGATGTTTTTCCATTGCAGGTGTGTGGCAAGGTCCAGTGTCAGCAGTGTAGCAAGGAACATCATACTCGTATATGTGTGATTATTTCTGGTAGCTTCTAAGCTGTCTTCTAAGCCTTCAATTAAGCTGAGGTTTTGTAGTATTATACCTTGTGCTGATGATATTCTGCCTTGTTTTCAGTTTCTTACATTTCCTTTTGCAGTTTTTAGAAAATCTTAATATATCATTAAGATATCCTAATATATCATAGTGGCTTGTAGAATTTCTGTCAGTGCAAGGCAGCAAAAAATGAATGACAGTTTTCTACCATTTGGTCTCCTCTTCCCTCATTACTCATGCTTGGTTTATTATTATTGCTCCTCAGTGCCACGGAGACGATATCCAACACCTCAAGGTCTTTACCTCATTGTCAGAACTGTCTGCTTCCCCCTCAAGATATTTTAGGGGCTAATGTATAAATGAAGGAGGCTGAAATGAAAATGATTACAGTTACCTTATTATTTTAACTTCCATTCTAAGGGCAGTGTCACAATTTAGACCTGTGAGATTTTAACACTTTCAAATAGTTCTCAATACATCATGCTGATTGATTGCTTGTGTGGGAAAAGGTTGAAGGTTCCTGCAATTTATTACATAGAATACACTCCGGTCATCCATAACATTATGAAGACCCGCCTAATATTGAATAGGTCCCCTTTTTGTCGGCAAAACAGCCCTGACCCGCCGATGCATGGACTCCACTAGGTCTCTGAAGGTATGCTGTGGTATCTGACACCAAGCTCTCAGTAGAAGATTCTTTATATCCTGTTAGTTATGAGGTGGGACCTCCATGGATCAGACTTGTTTTTCCAGCACATCTCACAGATGCTCGATTGGATTGAGATCGGGAGAATTTGGAAGCCAAGTCAACCCGTTGAACTTGTTGTTCTGTTCCTATTCTCAAACCATTTTTGCAGTGTGGCAGGGTGCATTATCCTGCCATCAGGGAATACCATTTCCATGAAGGGATGTATTTGGTCAGCATCAATGTTTAGGTAGGTGACACGTGTCAAAGTAACATCAACATAAATGGCAGGACCCAAGGTTTCCCAGCAGAACATTTCTCAAAGCATCACACTACCCCTGCAGGCTTGCCTTCTTCCCATAGTGCATCCTGGTGCCATCCTTTCCCCAGGTAAGTGACGTGTGCACACCGGGCCATCCACATAATGTAAAAGAAAGCATAATTCATCAGACCAGACCACCCTCTTCCACTGTTTCATGGTTCAGTTCTGATGCTTATGGGCCCATTGTAGGTGCTTTTGGCGGTGGATAGTGGTCCGCATGGGCACCCTGACCGGTTTGCTGCTCACAGCCCCATACACAACTAACTGTGATGCACTGTGTGTTCAGACACCTTTCTATTGGAACCGAAATTATCTTTTTCCGCAATTTCAGCTACAATAGCTCTTCTATTGGATCGGACTACACGGGCCAGCCTTCACTCCCCATGTGCATCAATGAGATTTGGCCACCCATGACCTGCTTGCTGGTTCAGCGGTTTTTCTTCCTTAGATCACTTTTAGTAGGTCCTGACCACTGCAGATTGGGAACAGCCTACAAGAGCTGCAGTTTTGAAGTTGCACCGACCCAGTTGTCTAGCCATCTAAATCTGGCCCTTTTCAAAGTTGCTCAAATGCTTTAGCTTGCCCAATTTTCATGCTTCCAACACATCATCTTCTGGGACAAACTTTTGTTCACTTGCTGCCCCATAGATACCACACACTTCCAGGTACAAGATAATCAATGTTATTCACTTCATCTCTCAGTGGTCATAATGTTGTGGTTGATCAGTGTAGATCCTGTGTGCGTATATATATATATATATATGTATACATATGGTTACTATGGTTACATCATGGTTTTTCCTTGTTAAATGGAACCACCACACCAAGGTGTGTCTAGGATGTGTAAAGAAACACATATACACAGTATAATCAGCTCTCCAAGTTTTTCCTGCAGCATATAGTTTGAGCAAGTGTCAAGGAAATGTCTTCACACAATGTTGTTACTTTACAGGAGCTGGGAGGAAGGCAGAGTGCTGATTTTTGATGACTCTTTTGAACACGAGGTGTGGCAAGATGCTGACTCCTATCGGATGATATTTATTGTGGACGCTTGGCACCCAGAGCTTACACAGCATCAAAGGAAGACTCTGCCAGCCATTTAAATGTGAAGTGAATGGGTTTACAGAGTCTAATCAGATGAAGGAAAAGTGAAATTGTAAAGCACTAAACACACACTGATTTCACTACTACATATACAGTATGGTTATACCTGATATATTTCTTGTACATACAATATCATTTTTGTACCAATTTTTTATTTGTCAGTGTAAAATAGCATCATTGAATTGAGGTTCAATTGAGAATTGAGATCATGCTCACTCATACTACTTTTCTGAATGAAAAACCACTATTAATTGTCCTGTAATATTGAGCTATAATACTGTACTTTTTAAACCTGCTTTTTAAAACCTGTTTTACAGCTGCTACTGCCTATACACGATCAAACCTGTAACTGAACTGTAAGTTTTCACTAGATGGACATTGAGTACACTCAAAACTGTTCTTTTGGCATTGAGTGGATGCTGTTTGAAGTGCCTGCTGATTATGTCTGTATGGCAATCCGGCCGGAAGACCTCCTCGCTGGAAATGGCTCCACCCCTGCTTATGGCCTTCTTTTCTAGCTTGTTAGGCTTCAGGACTAGTGTGGTATCCAGGCTCAGTTTTCTGCATTTTGCAAAGGCAGTAATATTGTAAATTTGGAATCTTCAATGGAGAAATTGCTGCTAGAGTGCAAAGGAGATGCTTGTAATAAGAAATCAGCCTGTCACTTTGAGCCTACATTTTATTCTGGCTTAAATTGATATTAAAGTCAAAAGGATTTAAAGCTATTTCCAATGCTGATGAAATCACTTACAATGTATGCTGCTCCTTGATGGTTAATAGTTTTAGTTTCCTGCAGAATCAGCTGGTCCTCTAAGTACTGGTCCTGACTTCCTATTTTAGAGTGACTCCTTTCTCAAGCAGAGTGTGTATGCTAGTAAGCTGTGTGTGTCTCCACAAACACACACCAGAGTAACGTTGAAATCAGTAAATGTCCATGTGTTAAGCAAATGCTGTCACTCAGACAAGCGCTTTTGGGGCCATGTAGGGTCTCTTCATCAGGCTCAGAGATGAGGTTAATGAAGGGACCCTGCGTGGCCCCGAAAGCGCTTGTCTGAGTGACAGCATTTGCTTAATAAATGGACGTTTACGGATTTCAACGTTAGTCTGGTGTGCTGGTGACATCCTTATCAAGTATTGCTATTTATGGTGCCATCCATAGTCACTACAAGCATCCTTCGCATCATATTGGGATATCTGGTAAGGAGTGCAGCAGGACATTTCTTCATTATCCACAAACACACAGACACAACGAATCAAGCTACTTCCCTCTCCCCTGGCCCCCTCTCCTCACTCCTCCCTTCAAGCTAGTAGATGAACACTTACTGGAGTCTGCTCATTCCCTATTGATCTTGTACTGGACAGGAAGTTCAGGGAAGCTGAGAGACTTGGAAGCAGCTGTTCAGAAACATGATAATTGTAATTGTTTGGGCAAAAATGTAAAGCAATGCTTTGCTGGGCAATGTATGTTTGTTTGATTTGGATTCATTATTGAAAAAAATGTGAGCATTTAATACTAATTAATGTAATGAAACCTCCAATAAGATTCCAATTAGACAATTCTACTCTCCATAAAATAATTCCTCATGAGAGAACTGTAGTTGTACACTGTTGGGAAATAGATTTACTGACCTGACATACACAATAATCATTATGTGACAGCAGGGCCGCTGTGCTAAGTCGGGTAAACTTTTATCCATATTTGTTCTCAGAGTCTGAACCTGTGTCATATTGCCCCTAACCCATACGTGCAGAAAATGACATACATATCTAGGTAATTTACGAAAATTCACTTCTGCCATTGCAGCAGTATGTTTCACGTTTGATGCTTTTACATTTCTGCAGCCTCATGCTGTCCAGCTTCTTTTGCATTTTTTGTTACTTTGAAATGTAACTTCAGAGAATTCTGGGATGTGATTATAAGCACTACCAGGGTCAGTGATTATCATTGCATTTAATATTTGGACTGACCTACCTTATAGTCATCAATACTAACACCTGATATGGCTTTTGGATGCTGTTAATGTAATTGTCTGTCAATTATGAAAGCAAGGTTACCTTAAAGATGCATTTCAAAGAAAAAGGGATACCCAGTTCACAGTTTTTAAAAAGTTTCCAACTTAACTGGCAATCTCATGCAGCTTGTACTTCAGGGTGTAAGAGCACATAAAGCACATCCATTGTTCCTCCTGTGCCTCCTTGTTCCTTGAGAATCAGAGTTTTTTTCGTGGACTTCTGTGAGGGTGACACATAGTGGCTGATGAAATGAAAACAGGAGCAATAAATGGGGCAGTGTGTCAGAGCAGCCAGTCAAGTTTAATAAGATATCTTATTAGTTGCCCTGGGCAATTGCTCCTGTTTTCTTAGCACTCTCTTTGCTTCTCATTCCAAAAGTAAAGACAGATAGATGTGCTGACCGACACGATGTGTGAATGTGTCCAACCAGGTGGGATAACAAGGATATGATGTTGAGTATAATGTACACATCACACTGCGTCATTAATTTCCGTGCCTATTCTTAAGAACTTTATACACTGCCTGGCCAAAAAAAAGTCACACGCTCTATTTGTTTTGAACCGCCTTTAGCTTTGATTACGGCACTCATTCGCCTTGGCATCGTTTCTATAAGCTTATGCAATGTTACGACATTTATTTAAATCCAGAGTTGGATTAATTTTTGTTGTAGTTAGGATTAGATCCACTGCGTAACGTCTTCTCCAGCACATCCCACAGATTCTTAATGGAGTTAAGGTCTGGACTCTGTGGTGGTCAATCCATGTGGGAAAATTATGTCTCAAAGCATTCCAGCATAATGTATCATATGCAATTGTATTTCTTCTTCATATGACTACATGTTATTGCTGTCCCTGTTATTATGCATTTGATCAATTCCAGTTTTTGGTTTTGAGCCCAAACACACACATGATATGGGGCCTATGAGCCCAAACACACACATGATATGGGGCCTATTTATGTAATAGTTAAAATTAATTTTTCTAGGTGCTTAATTAGGTAAATTTGGATTTTATTAAAGCAGATTGCCTTTTTAGGTTTGCTTTATTACATTGATATTTGATATCATTTGAAGTGGTGTTTCAGATTTAGTCAGTTTGAGTCCTTTCATCACTTTTTTTTTTTTTTTAGCTTTAAATCAAAGTTAATGACTCTTGCAAACATTTTTTACCATATTAATACCCAGATGATGGAAAGCCCGCTTGAGATCTGTAATACACAATAATGTCAGTGCTTTCTAATTACAATTTTCGAATAAATATCAAGTACTGGGTTATTTTATGTGTCAGCTGTCAGATTGCATGATCCCTGTTTAATTAATAGTTCATAAGTGGGGGTTTATATAGTGAATACATTCTAAGTAGCACCTAGTATATTCATGCAACAGGGAATGTCAGTAACCAAAATAGAAAAGGAAAAAAAATAAGAAATAAGGATACATTTTCAGAAAGTATCCAAAACATTGTTGCTAGTTGACCACTGCAAAATGTAGAGAGTAGATAGGGTTAACATGAAAAAGGGACTGAAGTAGGGATGAGTGAAATTGACAGTTCTGAGATTTCTGCAACAATCAGGTGATTTCTGTGAAACGTCACCGTTTTGATCAAATAAATTGGTATTAATATGGAAGGAGATATTCAGGTGGTTTTGGTAGGCAAAATTGGGTGGTACGATGGGCTTTAAATGTCTTCTGAGGGTTAAGGATAATCCTTGATATCATCCTGGTCCTGTTCTTGTGCCAAAAGTTCCTTCATTAGCCTAATTCTTCTTTTTTTTTAACAGAAAGAAAATTTCAAATGGCAACAGTACACAAATAACAATGGAATAGAGACATAAAAAAATACAGATATAAAAAACGTGATATGATATATTCATTTATAAATAAGTTAATATATTAAAAATATAATAAATATATCCCCTCCCCCCTAAAAAAAACCCTCCAAATTAGTAACTAGCAGCTCCATGAGCGAACTTGAGAGTATCTGCTTTAATACCATTTTGGCTGTGGCAAAATTATTTTACCACAATCACTCTGGTTATGCTGAATCTGAACCAGGATCCCAATTTTACAAATTTTTATAGCAGTTCTATTGACCTGAGCAGCCAATTAGAAACCATGCCAGAAGGGCTAAACTAAGGACGTACCTTGTCTTGGACCATGTTGTAGCTGTGTACTGGTCCTGAGCATGGTTGTTCCCCCTCCCCACTCCCCCGCTGGTCTGAGTGGGCACCAATGGTTCTAATTTACTCCAGTGTTCAAGTTCCATGCTCAGGCATGGTTAGCAATTACACATATGCATACTGTTCCGAAGTCCAACTGAATCATGCCCAAGGTCACCTCTTTTAAGCTGACCAGGGCAAAGTACAGAGTGATTACACTAGGGCTGCAGCTAATGATTATTTTCATAATCGATTAGTTGCCCGATTATTTTTTCAACTAATCGAATGGTTGCATTAAAAAAAATTCTCTCTCAATACTTGCCAACTATTCTCATAATCGATTATTATCGATTTAGTTGTTGAAGCCCCAGATTACACTAGTCAAATATACTGAACTTTGAACTGGACTTTGGAGGTCAAACGTGCTCAGGCATAGTACATACACCCTAGTGTGATTGTCATTGCTTTATTGTTTGCTTTGTTTTTTAAGAACTCCCTTACCTAATTTGCTTGTGAATCAAATACTAACAGACTGCCTCATCAAATATTCCTTTTCAATGGTGTGAGTCTGAAAGTTAAATATTGTTTGCAGTAGGGATGCACCGATACCAGGCATTTGGGTGAGTACTCGTACTCACCCAAATGCTCCGATACCTAGCACGAGTACTTCCTGTATCAGGAAGGCGGGCAGCGCATCATTACACGCTGCCCGATTTTCTGATTAGCCAGGAAACGGCTCCATGCTCTCCTGTCACTTGTGATGAGAGAGCATGACGCCGACTTCCCGGCCAATCAGGAAGCCGGGTAGCGTGCAATGACGCGCTGCCCGGCTTCCGGATTGGTCAGGAAGCTAGCAAAGCCGGGCGCCGTGTAATGACGCAGCGCCCGGCATTCTGATTGGCCGGGAAGCCGGCGTCATCTCATGAATCATAATATTAAGAAAGTGACCTTAAAGCATTAGTTTG